GACATGTTAGACTGGTACAGGACATGTATGAGGACAGCAGGACATGTATGAGGACAACAGGACATGTATGAGGACAGCAGGACATGTATGAGGACAGCAGGACAGTGGTGAGATGAGGTGTAGGAGTGACAGATAGCTTCATCGTGGAGGTGGGAGTGCATCAAGGATCAATGTAATCAGTTAAATGTGAACGTTAGTTCTGTTCATTCAGAAAATCCATGTCACATTTCAGGGTCTGTTATTATAGACACAGACAATTGTTCAATATGAATATTTCTATCTTTATCACCCCAGTAACGGTGTTACACACATTAGTTGTTGTAAACACTCAAAAGAATACACATTTGTTTAGTACTTACAGTACCTTTACCTAAATTTTTATGGAGTGAACATTTTGAATAATTACATTAAAAGTTACAAATGTTGTCTTTGGTGCCTGTTTGTTCTCCAGATGTATTGGTGTGGGTGAAGGTCAGTCCATTTCCTTTTAGCTGACCAGCAGACAGCATTGCCACATTCAATATGGTGGACGCACTGACGTACCGCTGCAGCAGGCCAGCCCGCCTAACGAGGCGTCTACAGCCAAACCCATCTGTTCTGTTTGGATCGTTCAATTTGTGATTGACGTGACCGTGTAGTTACAGAAAACAAAGTTTTTGAGGTGCATGCAATCAGCTGGGACTGCTGCAAGATAAAAATTATTTATTAAATTCTTGTAAATGTGTTATCTCACTCAACAAATTGATTGACAGCTGCTAATGATTATGACTTAATAACTCTTTCCATGCATGTGATGCAAGTAAGACATTTTCATCAGTGATCAGAGCCCAGTCTGTGTTCACCAACATTTTCACTACAGAACATCGATGTGTTAATGTTGGAAATGACTCCAACCGCCTACTCAAAAAGTTATTAAGACTAAATGCCAGTTGATTCTGTTGATTTTAGTTGCCTAGTTTTCCTGTATTATCATCAGTCATGTGGTTTATAATGTTCAAGTATTTTTAGTGACAAGAAAGTTCATAAATTGTAATTTATAACATAGCAACCTTCTTAATGTGCAAGTTGATTCTCGGTGATTCTCAGTGCCTCCTTAGAGAGAGAACTTTAATAATTGGCTTTTATGTTTGTGAATGTTCCTGTAAAGTGCCCTGAGACAACTTTGTTGTGATTTGGAGCTATATGAATAAACTGAATTGAATTGAATTAAAACTAAAAGTTGACTCTGGAAGGGTGATTTATTTATTTTTGCCGTTAAGTAACTTTGCTAAATTCAAAAAAGTATTATTAAAAAAACAAAAAAAAAAAGTTATCACAGGTGGTCCTTTGTTCAGAACAGAATAACTTAAAATTGCAATTTTCAGCCTTCAAAATTGTTCTTTTGTAGTAATATGCTGGTATTATCAGTGTATATGTAGACAGAAGGTGGTGATTGTGAGGGTAAAAGTGTGTGTTTGTGCGTGCGTGCGTGCGCGTGCGTGCATGTGTTAAAGTAACATTGTCCTTAATGTACATGTGTTTCAGTGGTTCCTGTCTACGTTTGGTGCTGATTAAAAGAAGAATCTCCTCAACACTGAAGGCCTGATGTGGACCCAGAGCCTCTCATCAGAGTGGAAGTGAAGACCCTTGGACCAGTCTGGTGGGAGACCAACTCAGTATGGAGGAGACCGATATCAGGTTTTTGGTCACTACCGTTCCTTTAAAGAGTGAGGAGGACCCAGATTTAAAAACTAACAGTTTCAGCTCTTCAAAGACTGATGTTAATGAGGACGAAGAAGAGGATGTTGAAATGACCGATCCTGACTCTCCACTAAAGAACTCATCAGA